GGGGGGGGGGGGGAGCCGCCAACCTCGAACTTAAAACTTACACTCACTATTTTCTTCGAAAACATACGTGAGTTCCACAAAATCTTACATGCTGAAAAAAAATCTGATCGAATAGGAATATTCAAGCGAAACTATTTTCTTACAAACGAATGAAAAATTCAACGTCTCTTCCGAATTTGTAGAAAAAGTTTTTTTTTGAATTTCATTTTGCTAAAAAATCTCATCATATATGTAACTCTTGTCATAGAATCTATCCTAAAGTTGTCATTAACTGATAGAAATATTCACTAAGTACATTTTAATTAATTAATTTTAATAATCAATTGAAAAAGTGAACATTTTTACATCTAATATCTATGCTAAAGAACTTATTGAGAATAATAATTTTTGTAAAAAAGAAAAATCAAAGAAATTCATTGAAATATGAAATAATCTATTTTATTTTTCTTCTTCTTAACTTTAGGATGCTATGGCTAGTTTTAAAAGTGGTAAATCATTAACAATAACTAGACAACAAGATAATATATGTACACCAACACAAATGATTAATTTACTTGCTTCATCAAATCGTTATGGTTATATATTTTATGCTACGGAAAATGATGGTCTTGCAATAATATCATCAAAATATATTGATCAACAATCATCTTATTTAAATAAATCATCTGATGATGATGATGATGATGATGATAATGAAAATCAAAATCTTGAACAAAATCCAATTGTTTATCGATCATATATGCCATCTCAAATGATGAATAAAAATTCTTCAATTATTCCATATTGGTTATCATTAAATTCAGATGATTCAATTCTTGCTATTATTCTTTTACAATTAAATACAAATTCATGGTATATTATTTTATATGATGTTGTTAAATTAATTCAAATGGTAATTAGAATAATAGAACAAAACAAGAATCATATGTTTGTTTGTTTTTTCTGTTCTGTTTATATATTTTTAGCCGGAATCAATACCAATTTGTTCACCTATTTATTTATCAAGTGATTCTATTGGTAATACAATTCAATATTTTACATGGAATCCAGCTAGTACAAATTCAAATATGTTTGCTTATATTGATGGAAATGGATCTGTTTCAACATATGAAATTGATCAAAATTTAAAACAATTAAAAATATTAGGCAAATGTGATGCAAATGATGATAATTCATCAAGTATATAAAATTCTATTTTTTAATGTTGTATATTTATGATTATTTTGTTTTTTTTTTGTTCTATAGTTTGTTGGAGCCCAAAAGGAAAACAAATTGTTGTTGTTAAATATTCTGGTGCTTTAGAATTATATGAACCAAATATGCAATTAAGAAAACAATATCAATCAGCTGCGATTAATTCAACATTTCCTCCATGTATTAGTGTACTTTGGCTTTCGACACATCAATTTTTACTTGGTTTTTCTGAAAATAATCCAGATGAAAATACAAATGAAAATTCATTTTTTCATATTATGGTTACTTATGATAAAGTAAGAATAGATAACTTTAAAAAATGAAATTTTATTAATTTTATTTTTTGAAAGGATCAAAATTCTAAAACACAAATTTATAATGATCTTTTTTTTGATGCTTATGATACTTCAACGAATATTAATCCACAATATTTCTATGTACGACTAAATGAAGGGTATAAAAAAATTTATTTATATGTAAATTTTGTTTTATTTATTGAAATTATTTAGTAAAATTATCATATGTGGTCTTACGAATTCATTAAAAATTAATGTACTTGGTTCAGATGAACTCAATCAGGTTTGTATATATATATTGTTTGATTTCTCTAACGAATTTATTATTTTATATGTGTATAGAACAGAAATTATTGATATGAGTTTATAGGAATAGATATAATTGTAACCGTTTGATCTTGTTTATATTTTATGAACATTTATCAGATGTATTTAAGTTTTTGTGATTAAAGTCTTGAAAATTCTATTTTGTTTTCTCTTCTGAGATAATAATATTGAATCAATTGATCTAGTAAATGATATTCTATTATTATCGTAATATTTTAGGATAGAAATAATGAAAAGAGTTGAATACTTTTATTAAGACTTGATATCGATAAAGTTTTAAGTCAAACTTCGAAATTGAATTTTTCTGAGAAGAATCACGATATTAAATTAGATAATATTGTAAAAAATGTAGCGATTTTTCAAGTGAGAATATTTCCAATTATCAGATATCATTCGATCTGATATGATGAATGTAAATAGATCTTTACAAGATATTTTCACACTTATCAAAGTGCAAAATTTTATTTTAGAATATTGCCTAAAATACTTATTTAAAAACTTCAATGAAAATAATGATGTCTTTTCTCAATTTTCGAAAATACATTTATCTGACTCTAATAAAAATTAGATCAAGCAGTAATAACATTTCAATCGTAGGCTTTGGACCCTAATTATTGTAGATTTTTTTTACAAGAGAAATCTTCGAACAGACTAATCTTGAGATTATTCGTATCATATAAATTCCAATTAGATCTAAATACTCGGACAGTAACTCCGATTCTTATCTTATTATTACCAAAATAATGTATTTTTTCATATAATGCCATAGTTCATTTCAAATATTTTCGTTGTTCCTACTCTGAGATACCCAGGTTAATGATTCCGGTGAACGGATGCCGCAGGAAAACACGGGAACATGAAAGCAGTATTCCGGCCGGTTCCTGCTGGAAAGCACAGGAAGTTGGCCGGAATCTACCGGAAAAAATCCCAAAAAATTTCCGACGGGAATACTGCTTCCATGTTCCGGCGGTTTCCCGCCGTACGTCTTTGACCTGGGTATAGCTATGACGAAACCTTGCCATTTACATTGCTCAAATACAACTGACAGATCAGATGTTCTCATTTCAACATAGTAGAAACTCAAAAGATCTGAGACTTTTACGATAAACTACTCACGTTAAAACCTATCTTTATTGCAAAATTTTAAAATAGGACTTTATTTCCTAATGTTTCTAGGGGGGAACCATGACATTCGCTTATAAAAATACTGTATAGATGTAGTATTTCTACAGTAACAAACTAAATAATCCGAACTCTTATCAGAATATTTATACCTCATTAGAATCTACATCATACACATAGTCCGAAACCCAACGAGATTAACCAACTGATGAACATCTCGTGTCCAGGAGAAAATAATCGATCTAAGTTATATCTCTTTTTGAAACATAAATATCTCAAAATGAATACAATACAATAATCTCTCTATTATTAACAACAGTAACTACATCATATTTCACATTTTAATCATACAAGAAACTCGATGCTATTCTTATCACACACACACTAGCATAGACTTAAAAATAATTAATCAATGAAAAGACAAAACTCTAATAATTTATATGAATATGTAAAAAGAAAAAAAAATACTTAAGTTATTCTTTTGTTTCGATAATCTATTAATTATTTTATTCAAATAGAAAAATTATTTAAAAGAAGAAAAAAAAAGTTTATTTTGCAAAAATCTTTGTTTAAATCTTATGATAAATATCATATGTTTACAAATACAAAAAAACGCATAATAACAACAACAATAATAAAAAAATGTAAATAATAAGAAAAAATTGAATATAAAGATATAGATAATGATGATATAGATTTTGTTTTTGCTTGTAAATGAAATAAATTAATATTTGTTTGTTTTTCTTGACATAAATTTTCACATTGATTTAATGATAATGAACAATTTAAATAATTATCTAATTCATATAAATTAATATATTTATTTTCTAATGTATTATTATTATTAATAATACACATTTGATTTATTTTAAATAAACGATTTATATTTATATTATCATATCGTTGTAAATGAAATATATTCATTAATTGACAATTACATTGTAATTTTATTTGATTATCTTGTATTATTTGTAAATATGGATAATTAATTAATATACAATTATCTAATGGTGATATATATTTATGTTTAATATTAATTGATAAACGTTGTAAATTTTCAATACCACAAAAAGCATTTTTATCTATTTTATTTAATGGATTATTTGTTAATGTTAAATGACGAAGTTTAGGTACATATTTAAATGTATATTCATTTATATGTTCAATTAAATTTGAACTTAAATCAATATCATCAATTGTTTTTGATTGTAAATTTTCAATTATTTTTAATTGATTATGTTCAAATAATATATATTTTAAATTTAATAAATTTTTTAATGAATATATTAATGTTTGTGTATGAAATATATCAGGTAAATAACGTATAAGTAAACGTTCAAGTGATATTAAATAATCAATTGGTATTATATTTGTTTGATGTGTATTTGTTAAACTTAAATATGTTAAATATTTTCCAATATTTTTAATATTATAATAACGATAATTATCAATATAAATATTAATTAATTCTAAACGATGTATATATGGTAATTGTTCTAATAATAATTCAAAATTTAATTTATATTTATGATAATAATGTATATTTTTTAATGTTAATGTTTTTAATTTATAAAATGAATTTATTGAAAATATATCTTGTAAATTTTCATTTGAAGTTTTTAATGATAATATTGTTGAATTTTCAATAAGAAATTTTTCTAAATATTTTATATTTAAAAATGTTTGATCATTTATATTAAATAAATTACAATGACGTATACGTATTATATTTATAGTTAAATTCATAAATGTTTGATTTAAAAAATTTAAATCATTTAAACATAATTCAAATTCAATTGTATGATAATATAAATTTATATAAAAATTTGGTATTATTGATAAATTTAAACATTTTAATGATATTGATAATTGTTCATTATTATGTTCTTCACATTCACATGATGGAATATCTTGTAATGGATAATATTTTGAACATATTGATGATAATATTATATGAATATTTAATAGAATAAGAAGAAATATTAAGAAATAATTCATTTTTAAATACATCTAAAAATAGAATATAATTTATTTCATAGATTAATATTCATAATTAGTTGTGGTTTTTTTTACAACATCTTGAAATGAATTTTTATAATGTTAGAATAGAAAATATTGCAGATTCTAAGTGTCATGTATATCTTAATAAGTAATGTTTTACCTCTGCAAAAATCGAATAGAATCTTCCGGAGCTTAAAATTTCTGCCTCGGAAAAGAAAAATCTGAATAAAACATTATTAATAAATTATAAATACTCTGAGAAGAGTTTGAGCTTATTACTATGAAGATATTACTTTTCTAAATCACTAGAACCCGGCAAATTCGAGATCGGTCTAATGAGCATTTCGCCTTAAGGGTACCCCCCCCCCCTCTCTTTTTTTACCATTTCCAGTTCTCAAAGAGGGTACAATCGATTCGCCTGAAATTTTTACCACAGTTAGAGCATCTAAAATAAGTTTTAAAAAGGTTTTCTGCGATGTCTTTGGAAAAACTCTAGTTTTCCATAGGTCCGCATCGGGCCACATTACGACCCCCATCAAATTTTATTCGATTGCGCTGAAAATTTTTTTGGAGATACCTAAGACTACATCTCAGAAGTAGTTTTGAGTTTTTCTAAAAATCTCGCTTTCTTTTCTTTTTATGAGAGAGAAATACCGAAAGATTCGGATCTTGACGTTCACAATACTATAGATCTGGATAGGAAGGTTCAAAACGGAAACGGCTGATTCTACCTCTAGAGAATACTTTCAAGTATCTGTGGTAAAAATTTCAGTCCGATCGGACAAAGTTAGAGGGGCAGGCCCGATAGAGAGAACTGTAATTTTGCGTTACGCTAAGTAAAGGGAAAAAATTTCTTTAATTGAGTAACTCTGTAATAGTAAGGTGTTTAGAGTTGAATGATCTCTCTAATTGCACATAACATTTGAGGCTATCATACCTTTTGCGTAACTCAAAATCGAGTTTTTGATCGAAAAAGAGGGGGGTTGGGGGTACCCTTAAACTATTCTTGTAAAGATCTGCATCTATTTAAAGATTCAAATCGAAATTCGAAGATCAATGAGTATCAGAGCATTGAGTTATAAAGAAAAAAAAGTCCATTATCTTCGTAGGAATAAGCTAAGGACACACACTTTTCTAAAGATATTCATTGCTTATTAGACTCTACATGATATGCGCATAGTCTTGACTCAATAATAACTAATCAATTAAGGAAACTTCCCTGATGAGATTGAAAATTAGCTCTATTGATTTTTTTTTCTTCTTCTATGTAATGAATATCTAAGAAAGAAAATTCAAGTAATTTAATGGATTGAAGTTAATAATGTGTGGTGCGAACTTTCAGTCTCGATCACGAAAAAGAGAAATTTTTTTTTCAGAACAAGACTCGAAGTATGAAGAAAAGTTGTTAACACAATCCTTATGGGATTAATATGTGAAACATGATGTAACTACTGTTGTTAATTGGTAGAAGATTGATTTATTCGATCTTGTTCACTATCGTTTTACTTAATCCTCGAAAAAAAAAATGTAATAAAAAAGTAAATCATATATTATTACGAAACTCTTTGATCGTATAAAAAATGACTAACTAAAGAATAAATTCGAGTATATGAAGAACTGCATTAAGTGATAAATTACTTATCGAAATAAATCTTATCTCATTATGTAGACTCTTCTATAGGCCAAGTCAATTTTCAAGAGAATAGAAGTATAACATTTTATTGAAAAATAAAAAGGTTTCCTAAAAATGATCGACATTGAACAACAAAAGAAAGTATTGAAACGATCAAAACATTACTTTAATAATCTACGGAAATGAACGCTTTTTCTTTTTCTTCTTACCTATATCTTCTTTTGAACTTAAACCGTCGGTTACAATTTATATTGTTCTTTCGTCAACGAAAAATATCTTCTTTTGTTTAGTTTATAGAAGAAAATCATTTGATATTTTGTACTTTTTTTTTTTGTTTATATGCCATATTGATAAAAATGTTTAGTCCAGATTTATCGATAAGAACGTATAGTATATGAAGAAATGTATTGTTCCTATAATATAGTAAAGAAGCCAATCTATGTATATGTGTATATATACACATATATATCACTATTCAATAGAGTTGAACTTTACCATTATAATAGTATGATGTCTTAAAACAATCTTACTTAACTAAATAATTATTTCAGTAAAAACGTTTTTTTAATATATATATAACATAACACAATTTATTTGATGATCTCTATTATCATTTATGACTTTTTTTTTTAAGTATCAATTACCAAAAAAAGTCTTCTTACCAGTAAAATAACATTTGTCTTAATCAAATACTTAATTTTATAATTAAATAAAACTATCGGAAGTTGACATAAATAGAATATTAAATAATATTCATTATCATTTTTATTCATTAATCATTGAATAAAGAAATAAAAAAAAAGAAGGAATGCTTAGAAAGTATTTTGTATATTTTCATTGTTATCGGAGACTAACTATCCTATGGTTGATTGCCAATTGATCTTGTTAATGTACTCGTTCGGATGTATTGTTTAAGAGAAAAAAAACTTATATTCGATCGTCTACCGGAACTGTTGATCTTTTTCTCTCTCTGTTTGAATAAGAGAGAATACATATATATTCATTCTTCTATGCTCTTTCTCGTAAGACCATCATCTCTTCAATCGTATCATAGTCGTGGTTATTTCTCTCGCTCATCTTATTTTTATTCGTCTGATAATCAGCTTCACATTTATTGAGGCTATTTTTTTCCTCTTTTTCTCTATAGCACTTTTTTTTTTGTGTTTCTGCCCTATATATTAAAGAAAAGAGAAATATGCTAAGAAACGGGAAGTAGGAGGCGACTATTGGTCAATATAGTATCCATTTCAAATGCTCTTTTATGTATATATATATACATGTGAGGCATAAGTAATCAAAATGCATATGTATGGCAATAGATTCTCGTTTTTTTTTTTGTCCTATAACATGCTATTGTTAGTTAGATAGACAGATGGGGACATACGAATTGAAAGAAAAATAAAAAAAAAAGGTAAAATAATCAAGTCGACTATGAATTTATGTAGACTTGAGATAAAGTCATCATTCATCAACTATTATTCAAAAAGATAATGTATGTTTATATAGATGTATTACTATACTTGCTCTTCTATCTTATTGAATTAGTATTGAAATGATAAGATGTTCAAAATGAAATTATATATATATATATAAGATGTAGAATGTGAACTAAGAGAGAAAGAAACCATAATAGTTCCATTATAAAAATGAAAAAAATAATTCATTAAAGTAAATGTATACGACCGGACATAGCAAACAACTTACCATCATAGTGCTACTTTTCTTTCATAAGATGTGCATTTGTATGAGGTGGAGTGTCTGTTTAATGTTCACTTTTTTTTCTTTTTCTCTTCTTTCTTTATCCTCTAATTCTTGCTCTCTCTTTCGGTCTCTCACATATATATATATATATACTGCTAACCACATTTTTAAGAATAATGCCATTTTCTTTCGATCAATACGAACCGGACAAGTGTCCCATTCTTGTCGTTATAGTATGCGTCTAGTTATATATATATAAATGTATATATTTGTATGTATGTCGATGTGATGATGCAATAGTGTGACTAATGGATTGAACAGGATGACTAAATGAAACATGAAAGATGTGCGAGCATGTCTGGTCGAAGAAAAACTCTTGATGAAAGAAAAATCTATTTATACCAAGGATATATCTTACATCTACTTAAGACAAATTATCTCTTCTTCTCACCATTAAAACTACAAAATACGTAATCTCACTTATGGATATAAACACACGCATTTGTTACTGTACAAAAAAAAAATCCTAATGAAAGAGGTTATGCCGTTGCTATCTTTTTCTCTCTCTCTCTTTCTCTTTCACATTCTATGTATATATATATATATGTCTAATTCTTTTGTTTGACAAAAGGCAATTGAAGCTTGATGGTGTAATCAAGTTCATCTATTTTTCGCTTAAATGAATTCATTTTCTCAAATAAATTTACTGTCAATCAAATGTAATTGATAATAATAATCAACAATGATCATTAACTAACAAGTATAACATATTATATGTCCTTGTTGATTGGACCATTCACAAACGAAGAAGAAGAAAAGACTTACGTAATTCATACATAAATATTTTTGTAGTTATAATGATAGTGTAAAGCATTCAAGCTCATTTTTTCTCTTACTTGTTATTCTCATATATATAAACAATGAATAATGATGATCTTGTTAATATGGTCAAGATGTATAATTATGTGTACCTTGAAATAAGATAGAGAACTGATTGAACAGTAATAAATATGTAAGAAAACGAAAAAAAAAAGTAATGAGAATGGATATAAGATAGAAGAAAAAAAAGTGATAGGAAGGGGGAAAAAAAAAAGAAGTTGAATATATTCATTCGTTCATTCAACACTCTCTTTTCATCAATACTCATCACTCACTTGCCCTTGACCGATAGTCGTTCATTTAGAACTCTTTTCTGTTTTCTGTTTTTTTTTTTTTTTTTTCAGTAGAAATTCGATGCCATTTATAAAATACTAACGATCATTGCCGTTGTTCACATAATCAAACGAATAGAAAAAAAAAAAAACAGATTATTCGAAAATGTCCGAATCCATTTTTTGAAAAGTTTTTATCGATACGAATAAATTAACATGATACCCTAACACTATCATCATCATTACTATGTCCGAGAACATATTACTACTCGGCAGGTGATAGTCTGAACGCTGCTTAATAAGGCATTCATCTCAAGTTACATATATATATATGTGTGTGTATGTGTGCACATGCGGTGCGATACTATTTACCTTGAATAAGATGGTTATATAGATTGATATATACGGAGTTTGAACAGCATGAATACTTGAACTGTCTTCGTCCGATTTACTAATTGAAATGTTCAAGTTGATCGAACATATATATTGTATACAATCTTTTTATAGATACGTCACATTTCATG